GGGGCCGTGGAATGCGGGGGTCGCCGGGCCCGGGGAGGCGGGGCGTGGAGAGGGCAGTGTACGGTCGGGAGCGGATGGGCACAGGAAAGGGGAGGCTGGGGGAGCTTACGGGGGTGACGAGGCAGACAATGAGTAGGTGGAGGTGGGTGATTTTGGGGAGCTGGGCTGTGACGAGCAGGGGTTGAAGATGGGGTGAGGGACCAGGAAGGTTTGGGCTCAGGGGGAATTAGGGGAACGGTGAGTCCCAGGAGTGCTTGGTCTTGGGAAACAGGGCATAAGGCGTTTGTAAGGTCAGGTCTGGGCTTGGCGAGCCTGTGGTCCCAGAGGGTGGTCTGTTTAGTTCCTGACTGGCACGGTAGCGCCGGGAGATGTTTTCTTGTATATTACTTTTAGTTACTGTCTTATTTGTTTGGTCTGTAGACTGACTGGCACAGTGGAGAAACCGCCTCGAAAACGGAGAAGCAGGTAAGGCAGTGCCTTCCTATTTTGCTTCATGTTTTTCTTTGCTTGGCTGCACCTGTGCCGTACTGCATAATTGTACACTGTCAGTAGATGAAGTTTCTTATTTATCCCCGTTTTAAAATAAAATAACCACATGCATGATTTTTCTTTTGAGGACTTCAAATTATTACCTCTATAGTCGATTTTTTTTTTTTTTTTGGTATCTAAGATAATGTGGGAAATCTTGAGAGATCCTACTTTTTTACTTTATGATGTTGTGTTAGGATCTCAGCTAGTTTTTTTTTTTTTTTTACCTTAGCCATAATTTCAGTTTCTCCTGCATCTCTGTTTAAAAAGCTCATCTTGGCTGGGGTGGCTCATGCCTTCAATCCCATGAGGCATGAGATTTGGGAGGCTGAGGCAGGAGGATCATTTGAGCCTGGGAGTTCAAGACCAGTCAGGGCAACAGAACAAGACTCCGTCTCTATAAAAAAATTGAAAAACTAGCCGGTCCCATAAATATATACACCTACTATGTACCCACAAAAACAAAAAAATAAAATAAAATAAAACACAAAAACTAACTAGCTGAGCAGGTGTTGTGGACCTGTAGTCCCAGCTTCTCAAGAGGCTGAGGTGGGAGGATTGCTTGAGCCCAGGCAGTCAAGGCTGCAGTGATGCAGTGAGCCGTAATCATGCCACTGCACTCCAGTGTGGGGAACACAGCAAGACCCTGCCTCAAAAAATAAAAGAAACTAATTTTATTGAGCATCTACTATGTGCCAAGCACTGTGTGCGAATGCTCTATATGTATCTTCTCCTGTAATCCTCAAAGCACCCTAAGAGAATATGTAGTGTTGTCACTGTTTTACAGAAGAGGGAACTGTGACACAGAGGGGCCAAATATTTACCCAGAATCATGCATCTAGTAAAAGATAAAACCAGGATTTGAAT